TCGGTCTGATATCCCAACAACCCTCAAGTTTGGCAGTGAAAATAGTGCTGATGCGTGTTGGTGAGAGAGAGAGATGCTTGTTATGTCTAGTTGAACATTGTAGGTATCTCTAGAACTTGAGCAATATCCATGATCATTGTGGACAACAAAAAATGTGCACTTGGTGACTTAACATGGTACTTGTCCCTACACATATCCTGTTCGCTGCACATGGATTACGAAAAAAGGGCTGGTGACTTCCACGATTGTCTGGTTGAGCGTATCACATACTTCTTTTTCAGTGCAAACTCCTCGAAATTTAGCAAAGGTTGTTCAAAAGTCAAGATTTGTATGCTGTATTGCAGATTTGAGCTCAAAGAGCAAGATCAGATCGCAGATATCTCACTTTCAATTTCCGCTTGCTGTGCCATGCGGAGTTGGCTATTGGGTTGCTTGATTCAGATTGAAGTGCGTGTTGGGGCTGACGTAGAGTTTGCGTTTGTTGAATGGAGCAAACTTCGAGGTTTCAATCGAGTTTGCCTAGGAGTTTCTAAGCCCAGCAGGACGTAGCAGGACTCGGCAAGACGTAGGGTCTGGTGAAACAATTTCGGTCTAAGGCGCTTTGCTGCCTATCCAAGTGGCTTCATTGTGCCTGGTGAATGGCACCGCGCCTGCTGAGCGAAAGAATCTGGCCTCTTGGTGGCGGGTCTTCAGACATTTTACTTCCCAAACTGCAGGGTTTGCGACTGGGCGACCAACTCGTGGTGACAAGTTTGCTTACACAATACCCAGCTCTAGCTCATAGCCCATCAAGAAAGGAATCAGTCCTTTGGTTGCCCTTCGACCATGACCGGCAGCCGTACTCCAGTTCATGCCCAAGTTGGTCAGGTCGTGTGGTGAGCCATTGGTTTGCCGTCCATACTTGCTGTCCGTGTTTTTGGCCTCTTCCCAGGTGAACCCCAATGGCGAGACCTATCCAGTGCCAAAGCCTGAGATGGGCGCACAAACATGTGTATTGCGTGATCCTTGGTGCAATTGTTTGCTCTTCAACTAAACCTTGGAGCAAGCTACTAACCCCATCAGGCAGACAAAATAACAACTGCAGATATATAGTTGGAAAATTATTCGTATTGTCAATGGCATCTCATCACTTATGCACTTATGCTCTCAACCCTCTTGGGTGACTCGGGTCACATGGTCATAACTTCCGTCTAAAACTCCCTGACTTTCTCAGCCTCCCCTTCCTGACACAACCAGCTTTGAGTCGCCTCTCAATCGTGGCCGCGTCGATCAGGGGAATTTGGGTCAACAATTGGGCGGCTGGATGGGCGACCTCTCACTTGGTGAATACCCTCGTCCAGGCCCACTTGACCGATTGTCAGTTGTAAACAGACTGCAAGCCTTCCCCACTTAGCATTGCATTCTTTCTGGATGTATTTCTCCAGAAAACTTTTTTGAATGAGCGCCTATATCCTGAAAAATAGTTTTTTGCACCTGAGACTAGCCCTTTTGAGAACAACCTTGAATAGAAGTTGCACCATAAGAACGACCGCATCTAGTGTCTTGTGGGCAATATCGTTTTCACCGATGCTTTCGGCAAAGACGACGATTTTCACCAACGACCCCAAATCTATTTCACCAGAGGGCACAGTGCAGACCGATGATTGCAGGCATTGGCCCTTGGCCTTGCATGTGTGCAGTGGGTCATGTTAACACCCAGGTCAGATCTCATGGTCAGATTCCTTTGCATTCCTGCATTCCTCAAATCAGTATGGCTGAGGATCTGTATTATCTGTATTCATTGCTGCCAGGATCACCATGCGCAAAAAATGGGTCTGGTACGTTTCCAGGTCTTTCCGCAATTTTGTTGCGGTCTATCTGCCTTTTGAGTCTGATGTTTTTCGCCTTTTGGACCTACCGCATGCCCTTTTCGGGCAGCTAGCTCTCTTTAGGGCACCGTCAATCAAACTTTGCTTTCTTTGTGCCTCCATCCGATCAGTCCTTTGTCTATATATTTCCATGAGGTTTTGCTGCCTTCTCAAGGTGTTTGACCTGAGGTTTCCTTTTTTCAGCTCAGTCAGCTAGTCGTCTTTCCGCTTGGATGGCAGCCGGATGGCCCTGGCTGCCCGGGCCTTGTCTTGGGTCCAGTGCAGGGAGCGCAGAGGTCTCTTCGGTCAGAACACCCTGGGTGGGCTGGCACGCGACGCATGCGACGCGCGCGCTGCCAGCGCTTTTGGTGGCGGAATTCTCGGATTTGCCTCCCTTTTTACATGTCTTAGCTTTAGTTGGAGACCATAGACAAATTTTTTGGCTGACGGAGGTGAGGCTGCTTTTTAGAATGTATGATTTTGGCTCTGTGGACCTGTGATGGGTGCCTGCTGCCCAATATTTTCTACACAATGCCTGTTTCTTTTTCCACTTCAAGTATATAGGTCTGCCGTTGCATAGGATCACGGTGCTTGTTCGGAGGAGATGCTGGGCTACAACGCAGAGCTGAAAGGTCCTGGGGGCGGGACGGTCCATGGCTATCGCGCCATCGCCGGCTGTTCTCGACCAACCGACGCTGTGGATCCCGGCTGCGAAACGCAGGTCGGGCGACCGCGTGACGCACGGGAGAGTCGGTTGGGTGAGTCCAATACAGGCAGAGATTCTTCGAGAATTGCCGCCAGGTTCCAACAAGAACACTTTAAACTTGTAGATGGCCTTTTCTTCCTTTTGTCAGCTTGCATTAGGATGCCACCAACACATTCGCCTCGCATAACAAGGGATTATTTGCAAACTTGCCCTTGACCACCGACTTGTGAACGTTTGCTCCAAATGCATGTGGCTAGGTTGGGAGCCACTTCACAGAACAAACTTAACAAAGCATAAAGACACTTTCAGAATCGCAGTAGGGGAGAGCGAACGTGCAAAGAAGTCTTTGTAAAAACACTTGCTTTAGCTCGATATTTCAGTGGTCTGATCAGCAGGGGTAGACGGATGCCTGAGCATTCGCACGTATTCACGCGGCCTTGTCCGCTCCCTCGACACTCTAAGCGAGCTGGGGTGACGCTTTGCACGCGGAAGAGGGCTGACATTCTGCAGACCCATGTGACATTCGCACACACATATATTTTCTTGGTGCTTGAAGCCCTCAAATCCGTTGCTCGGATGACCCCCTAATGGCATGTTGTTCTTTGGGCCGAATTAGCAATGCCATTGCATTGAAAGCGCCTGTGCTTGGCCAGGTTTCCTACGTTCACTTGAGCACAGAGATGTGGGCAGGCGATTGTTGGGATCGGTAAGCCCAGACATGGTCAGTTTTCATGGTTGAATTTTGTTACCTTCAAATCTTTCTGAACAAACCTGTTGCGAGGCTATCCTACAGATTGGGACACTCTCCAGAAGAACAAGGCCATGGCTCCTAAGCGGTTGACCTCAATGGGCTACACAGGGAAGGTGTCTCAATATGTGGGCAAGGACCGGCCACTTGGAGCAGTTGCTACCGAGGCACTCCCCCGAGTCAACTGCCTTGAAAGATACAAAGCGCTACAACACTGGGTCTTTGGGCACAAGCTACCACTCAATAGGCACCCAGTCTCTGACAGCATGCCACCCCAGCTGTCACACGCCTGCATGCCGCAGCAGCTGTCGTGGATTCTCCGCGCCAGGGCGTCTGCCTGTCACATGTGCGTCAGCTGTCTGACTGTTACATGCTTTGCAGCATTTGCCCCTGACGCTCAAACAATGCTCGGCATTGAGCTCACAAGCTTTCCGACTGTCTCTGATGGCATGAAGCGTGCATCTCAAGGGCTGTGCACTCAAAAAACAGTTGTAAATGGAGAGGGCGGGAATTTCCGCTTCTGAGGGAGATGCTCCTCTCCGGCTTCAATGGCTTGATGCACAAGACTCAGTTAGAGTGTGTGGCAGATAGTTGGAATCAACCAAGACTGGGCATTGAACATTGAAATTCGGTGTCAGACCACCCTGTACACAAAAGCAGATTGAGTACGAGGGACGTTGGATATGGCAAGCACTTTCCGAAGCAAAGAAACACATACAACAGCAAGAGGCAAACCCACACACACACACAAATTTGTCAATGAAATGTGCACGCACTTAGAAATTACTGGCTGTGAATTTTGTCTTCATGACATGGGCGGCCATTTGGATGCTTATTGAGCTTGGAGTTCTCACTCCACTTGCGCAAAAAATGAGGGGGATGATACAATCTCTGACGACGAAATCGAATGCCGCCCGTGGGTTGTCTCCATCTCAATGGCATCTACCAAAAACCAGTCACTCTATGTAAGGTACAAATTACAATCTAGTATTCAGTACGGTCCATGTATGAGCTATGGTCATTGCAGGTTCACCTTTGTCTGCTGAGTTTCTACTTGTCAAAGCAGGGACCTTTTCCCGGCTTTGAAGCACACTTTTTGGCTGCAGCGAGGCAAGCAGAAGCAGCTCAGACGCAGGGGTTGCCTTTGGAGTTCTACGCCTCCTACGATGTCGACTGGTGGAAACCCTGGAACTACTTTGACCAGCTCTCGGCAGTTGACACATCCCTCCTCAAGCGCTGCAATGAGACACAGTTTTCTTCGGATGTCCAAATGCGGGCCACTTTGGCATGGACGGGCGACACAGGAGGAATCCAGATTGTCAATGGCAAGGACACAGGGCGCCAAAAATGAGATTCCTCAGTTGTGACTACATATATATATATATATGATAGGCTTTGTGACAGAAACTGACATGCGAGACACAGTCACTCAGACATGAGGTTGAACTGTTCATGACCGGGCATTTTAGGCCCAAAGCCTTTCAGCGGAAAACCTGCGCCCGCGCTTTCATGGTAGCGGAGCTCCTGGTCGTATAGTACCGGAGCTCCGCCACCTACGCTGCACCACGAGCACCACGAAGAGCTTAGGCTCCACGACATTGAGGAGAACGACGCGATCCAGGGGTGGTGTCTCCGCCAGCGCGATTTGGATCCTCGAACTTCTTGTGCTAGCTGGACTGGCAGGAGGTGTTGGCACAGCAACATCCCAGGAGGTTCAGTACTACCGGAACAGCTCCATCCTGCCCTTGACTGGCAAGGCTCGAGTGAGGAAGATCCACACGCTAGTGGTGGAGACTGAAGAACACCTGAGCAAGGTTAAGTGGATTAGAAGTGAAAGAGCAGCAAGGGCGTCTATAGTGGTCGCCCGAAAGGAGAACCAGTCAGAGCTGAAGGAGGTGATAGTGGTGGTGCCCGCCAAGTGGAAGTTTGTGCAGCGCATTGAGGCATTGAGGGACAAGACAGGAACAGACGAATTGAGTGAGCTGGTTTACAACTGGCACTTTTGGAACATCCCGGCTTACGCCGGACTTGCATTTGGTACACCAACACCCCTTGCACCCGTGGAGACGAAGACATTCATCCCCAAGGTTGCTGGGTGGAAAGTGATGGCTGAAGAGAGCTTGAGGCAGGTTGCAACGGCCTTAGAACGGTTGGCACTAAATCAGTCCACACAGGGTTGGGCAAGGCATCTCAAACCACCTGATGTCTTTAAGCCTGAAGGAAGAGACGCAGAGTTGAAGTTGTGGGGAGACTGGAAGTTTGGTTTCCTCAACTACGTGAAAGGGTTAGATCCCTCCATGGCGGCCAGCATGGACATGGTCGAGAACAACGTGGACGCCAACTACGACATTGGTGACATGACCGATGAAACAAGGGCAAAGGCCGTGAGACTCTACAGTCTGCTGACTTCGTATGTGAGGCAACGGCCATTGAAGCTGATTCGCCATGTCAAGAGCGAAAATGGGTTCGAAGCATGGCAGAACCTTTTGAAAGAGATGCAGCCGGCAACGAGGGCCAGGTCTCTAGCCCTCCTGAGCCAGCTGTCCCGCATCCAATTCGCAGAGGGCAAGACAGTGTCCGAGCAGCTGCCGCAGTTCGAGGCCTTGGTCTTGGAGTATGAGCGCGTATCAAACCAGAAGTACTCAGATGATGCCAAAGTGGCGTCAATCTTGTTGGCATGCCCGCTGCAGATCCGCCAGCATTTACATCTTTGGCTGACGGACAGCACGACCTATGAGCAACTCAAAGACAGGATCATCCAGCTCGAGGCGGTGACGACAAAATGGGACTCTACGAACTCCCTGATGCCTCCCACTAGGACCACCGGTGACGAGGCAACCCCAATGGAAGTGGACTACATTGGGAAGGTCGGCAAAGGCAAGCAGGGTTCGAAAGGAAAAGGAAAAGACGCTAAAGGGAAGGACAAAGGAAAGGAGAGAGGAAAGTATGGCAGCAAAGATGGAAAAGGAGCATGGAAGGGCACCGAGAAAGGGAAGAGCTTCTGGGATAGGAGTTCAGCGAAGAAGGGAAAGCCAGCAGAGAAAGGAGGCAAGGGCACGAAGAGTGGAGCTTGCCATGTTTGTGGCAAAACAGGCCACTTTGCTCGTGAATGTTGGAAGAGAGTGAATCAGGTTGAGGAGCAGCAGAATCCAGGAGGAGCAAGCTCATCGTCTACGGGACCAGCTGGAAGTGCCACGGCCACAGCCTCAGTCAAGATGGTGAGACTGCAGACGCTCCCTGATGCTTCGTCGCTTGAAGTCTTTGACCTCACAACACCCAGAGGAGATCGAGAAGAGAACTTTCCATGGCGAGTTGGAATGGTGTCTATGGAGCTCTATGATGTGGAGGAGTTCCATGATGTTGCAGAGTCTGAGTACCATGACTGCTATGAGCCTGCGGTCGAGGTACCGAAGAACGTGGCTATCGTGGCCATGGACTTGCAGGACAATGAAGAGAAGGAGCTGAGTGTGAGCATGGTGAGGAGGCAAGACTATGCGGAAGAAGGAAACTGTCTGATCACGGTAGACAGCGGGGCTGACATATCAGTCCTACCCAAGGAGTTCGCTGGAGTGGGTGAACAGCAAGCAAGTGATGGAAGTTTGATGATGGTGGATGCCCAAGGGAAGAGGATCCCACACAATGGGATGACACGTGCAAAGGTCAGGATGACAGACCGGACAGGAAAGATCGTCGAGATCTACGAGGACTTTGCTTTGGGCAGTGTACAACAGCCCATCCTATGTGCAGGGAAGTTGTTGAAGAGAGGATGGTCATTGGGAGAGGTTCAAGGAAGCCTACACCTGAAGCACGAAGGACGAGCAGTGAACATCCCCCTGAACACAGAAAGGAATTCGCTACAATGCGAGGCCAGGATCTTTGCAGTACAAAAGGAAGAGAAGCAGCAGGAGAAGACCGATGAGGAGGAGGATGCTGCAAGAGTTCAGGTGTTGCAGGGCTACTTGAGCAAATATGTCCAAGAGCTGGAGATGACTCCGGGCTGGCACAGATTGCCGAACGGAGTCGCAGTCTACAGTGACCCGGTGGCGACGCAACTGGTCGACCCCACTGGGAGTATTGAGAAGCTATACAAGGCGCGACTGACATTGGTCAAAGGGAAGGATGGACTATGGGAACAGCTCGAGAAGACTGAGGACTATAGCGCGTTGGGGCCAAGAGCATTTCGAAGGATCAGCCTGACAACAGAACCTCAGAGGACATTGAGTTTCTTCTCACCAGAGCACTTCAAAGACTACTGGGAACCCGGTAGCGAAGTACCAGTGGCGCCATATCCTCTGACAGATGGAGCTTTTGGGCATCTTGAATGGTCAGAGGATGAGGGAGAAGAACTTGAGGAATTGGAGGCCCAGGAGATGTACCATGATGTTGAGAAGATGGTAGTGGCTGAGCGACCGCATGAGGTAGAGTTGGACGAGGTCACCTTTTCAGAGAAAATGTCGGTGAAAGAACTCCAGATGGCGTGCAAAGAAAGACAGTTAGCACACACTGGGAGCAAGAAGAAACTCCTGGAAAGGCTGGTGGCTTTCAAGGTGAACCTCGAGAACCAGATGCACCTGGCGGTGGCGAGCAAGCTCTACAATGAGCAGAGGAGAAGGCCAGTCACACTTGGCCAGCCGAAACTTCCAAGTTTGGCTGAGCAAGAGTTGCGCAATGTGACTCACTGGCCCTTTGCATCACGGTGTCAGGCCTGTGTAGCAAGTCGATCGAAGGAGGACAAACATGAGAAGTCTGACAACAAGGAAGACATCGGAAAGAACATCATTCAAATCGATTTTTGCTACACGTACACCGGAGAGGAGGACAGGTCAGAAAAGCCAGTACAGGACAAGGTAGTGGAGAGACAGGATCAACATGGAACGGTGCTGGTGATGACAAGTTCTGAGACAAAGGCTATACATGCAGTTCCAGTACCGAGCAAAGGCAGCGCCAGTCTCAAGACTATCACAGAAGAGATTGTCAGGTTTGCTCTGGAAAATTCAGCCCGTGATGCTTGCATCATTCAAGCTGACAGCGAGCGAGCAACTAGACAGATCTTGAGGTCCGTGCAACAGGTCAGGAACGTGCTCGGTATGAAGACGGAGATTCGATTGACAGGAGCTGGACAGCATGCCTCAAATGGCCAGGTTGAGCGGGCAGTGCAAACAGTCAGGAAGATGGCTAACTGTTTACGATGGTATGCAGAAGACAAGGCCCGCATCAACATCGAAGGAGGTTTCGACATTTACCCATGGTCATTCAAGCACGCATCCTTCCTGATCAACAGATTCAGAGTGCTTGATGGGGTCAGCAGAACGAGCTTTGAACTGGCAACTGGACACCCCTATCGGGGAAAGTTGGCTTTGTTTGGAGAAAGCGTGTTGTTCAAGCGTGCAGTCAAGAATAAGGGCAGTGCAGTGTTTGAGAAGGGTGTTTGGGTGACAAAGCATCCATGGAATGACAATCATGTACTGCTATCCACAACCGGGGCCTATGAGTCAAGGACAATTCGCAGACTGGCACCCGAGGACAGCTTCAGTGGTCCAGAGATCTTCACTGCCAAAGGATTGCCCTGGAGTTACTCGGCGCAAGGAATACTGATGAAGCACGCTGGACAAGCCCAACGATACCGACAGCCAACATTGGAGATGGAAGCCAGTGAAGAAGAGCTCACAGCCATAGCACAGGATGTGGCCACTGGTGTTGTTACACCTGCACCAGGGTGTCAACCCATGACACCAGGTATCACTTTGACCACGACAGGGCCATCGACAGGTGAAGCACCGAGGACACCGTCAAAGGCTGCAGAGAAGAGGCAATTGTCCGAGGAGGAGAAGAGTGAAGGTGAGCGAGAATCAAAGAAGCTTGATGCATCAGAGTCTCCAAGAAGGCAAGCTGGGAAGAGGCAGGCAGAGGCAGCTGAAGAAGGTGAGGAGAAGAAAAGCCGAGCTGAAGGTAGTCATCATGTTGAAGATGAGAGAATGGTGGCAGAGCCAGAAGGATCTCCCAGGATGTCACCATCACACAACACGGGACACCTATACCCACCACACTACGCAGGAGTCGGTGCAATCGGTGTGGAACCGCACGGGGACGAAGATGTGGACATGCAGTTGATGCCAGAGGAGGTGCTTGAAGAACAGTTGATAGGCTATGGTGGTGATGAAGGAGATGACCCACCAGAGGTGAGTGATGAAGAATTGGAGGTCCTCGACAAGGAAGCTCGCAACACAGAGATCCAGAGGATGTTGGAGATGCCTGCTATGGTAGAAGTGCAGAAGTCAGAGGTCGAGAAAGATGAAGGGTATATCATCAGCACGAAGATGGTAATGTGCTGGAAGCATCGCCTGGAAAGAGGTGGATGGTTCAGAAGGGCAAGGCTTGTGGCCAGACAATTCAAGAATAGCATAGACTTGGAAGCCACATTTGCTCCTACATCTATGATGATGCTGCCGAAGATGCTGATGCATTATTTGCTGAATGTGAGGAGCGATTTTGTGGTGGTCACGTTGGACATCAAAGATGCATTCTTGATGGCAGCGCAGCCAGCCACAGAAAGAGCCTACATCCAGACAGATGAGCACATCTACAAGCTGCTCAGATGCCTCCCAGGCCAAAGGACAGCCGCATCACAATGGTTTGGATTGTTTGCAGCTGCGTGCAAAGAGTTCGGCATGCAGCAAGACTTGATGCAGCCCACACTGATGGTGATGGAGAACTTGATGTACCTCACAGTCCACGTGGATGATGTGTTCATAGTTGGACGAGAAGACAAAGTGAGGGAACTGATACAGCACTTCAAAGAAGAGAAGAAGTGGAACGTGGAGGAGAAAGGTCCATTTCGACAAGGCGACAAGTTCTTCTACCTGAAAAGGCAGTTCAATTTGGGCATGAGGCACTGTGACATAAGGTGCGACAGGAAGCAATATGACAGCTTCGAGAAAGAGGTCGACGTCTACTCCAGATTCTACAGGAAGACCCCTCTTGATGCCAACTTCACGAAGAAGGATGACTCTGCAGAACTAGAAGGAGCAGAGATCACGAAGTATAGGAGCATTGTGGGGCGACTCATGTACATGGCTGGAGAGCGACCAGACGCACAGTATGCTATCCAGTGCCTGGCACGCCATATGTCGAAGCCTACGAAGAACGCCTTGAAGAACGCCTGGCGCACCTGTTCTTATCTCTTTGGGACAGGTGGATATGGAGTGAGGCTTGAAGAGAGGAAGAAAGGCCAATCAGTGATGGACTTCAGAGAGATTGAGGAGGTGGAAGAAGCAGCACAGCATCTGGTAGAAGTGGTCACTGACTCAGACCATGCAGGAAACAAGAACGACCGCAGATCAACAACCTCAAAGCAGATCTTCATTGATGGCAACCTCATTGACAGCAAGGTCAGGAGCCAGAAAGCCATTGCACTCTCATCGGGAGAGAGCGAGTTCATGGCATTGGTGGCAGGATGCTCAGAAGGTTTGTTGGCGAGACACCTGTGGAACAAGATCACAGGAGGAGATTGCCAGATGAAAGCAAGGTCTGACAGCTCAGCAGCCAGGGGAATGACTCAGCGGCAAGGCATCGGACGAGTCAGACACATAGATGCCTCAATGCTGTGGATACAGCAGAAGGAGCGAGACAAGATCTTGACCGTGGCGGCGATCCCAACAGACCTCAACAGCGCTGACATCGGCGCAAAGAACCTACCGAAGAAAAGGTTGAAGGGACTACAGTACATGCTGCACATGGTGGACGCCGTGGGTGACCGCGTAGGTGAGCAAGAGTTCCGGGAGATCGAAGAGCAGCACAAAATGAAGCAGGGATTGAAGAAGTTTGGAAAGACCAAGGATCTACGGATCGGTCTCTTGATGCTGCTAGCTACGATCAACAAGGTCGGAAGCGCCCCGACAGAGAAGAAGGAGCCAGAAGAAAGTGACTGGATGTGGATGCTGCTATGCACATTCGCGTGCTTTGGGGCCTTGAGCCTGACCAGAGGGCTATGGAACTATGTCCAGGTGTTCCTAGATGGCACGAGGGACTTCATCCTGAAGATTGAGAAGGTGATGAAATGGGTGAAGAAGTTCAGCCTGAACGTACAGGTGGAAAGGGCTGACCGAGAAACCCAAGTGTCAGTGCCTAATGCACGACTCGAGAGAGAACTCGAGTTGGCTGCAAATGAGCTCTTCTTGAAGGACACGTACATCGAAGAGCTTGAACAGAGCATTGAGAAGATGAAGGGACACCTGGCCGATTTTCTGCGAGAGCGGGAGATAGCCGAAAAGCGCAGCTCCCAGCTCGAAAAGCAGTTGCACAGAATGAGGATGACACCATCCGGCAGGGTACTGCATTTTGCAGTAGGGTGCCCACACTTCATGTCAGGGCAGCCCATAAGACTTTGCACCGCATGTCTGAGCGAAGGAGGAGTGACAGAAACTGACATGCGAGACACAGTCACTCAGACATGAGGTTGAACTGTTCATGACCGGGCATTTTAGGCCCAAAGCCTTTCAGCGGAAAACCTGCGCCCGCGCTTTCACTTTGGTTTCATCAGTCTGTTGGAACGTCCAGTCTGTAAGGACAACATTTAAGCAGCGGAAGTAAGGTAGCAAAGGCATGGTCGCAGGTGTTTTTGGTGCAGTGCACACGTGGAATCTTCTGTGTGCCGACTTACACAACTTCTGTGTTTGGGTGCTAAGCTGGGACACGTTGTTTTTCCAGGCCATTGGCGTATGTCCTGATGAGTACACTTGGCGTGCGCCCGCTTGTCGCAGTAACAGTTCTACGTGCATCCTTTTCTTCACCGGCGGCAATGGCTGGAGCGTGGATGTCATCATGCAGCAAGCCATTGCTTGGAATATGCCCACTGCCATTGCGGTGGCCAAAGATTGGAGTTCCTTCTCAGCGTTGCCATTGGCAGTGAAATCGACTTTCTATTGGTGGGTTCCGGATCCCACTTTCTTGGATTTGGCTCCAGTCGAGATCATTTTCCCCGCGTATGACCGGAATGCTTATGCTGCTGGAGATTTCCGAACCGCGCCGTCAGAGTTGGAAATTACCAAAGGAACGAGCAAGGACCTGTTCACCCTGGCACCCAGAGTAGAGAATTTCTTGGTGAACATGGAGATTGACATGACTACTCTCAACAGTATTCTCCTCGAACAGAAGACGACCGGAGATTCGTGGGAGAATGTGACTTGCAAGTGGCTTCAGAACAATGAAGCCACTTGGAGCTCGTGGCTGCCAGATGACACCACTTGTTTCGCAGGCTTTGGGCTGGTTGACATTGAGACTGGCGAGTTCGTGATGGATCGGGCCATCAAAGAGGGCAAGAGGTGCGGATCAGCAAAATGTCAGAAGGTCATTCAGGGTCACAGGGTTGGTTCGATGGGGAGAACAAAAGAAATGTCTTTTGAACACCCTGTGGACATGACCCGGGAAGGTGCCAAAGACGGTGATGTAGGGGGTGCCGTGCATGCTTTCCTTCTGAAGCCAGGGAGGAAACCTTTTTTTTTTGTTCGAAGCTTTGCAGTGTTTCTTCAGCGTCTTGCCAAAAGGGCGCAACACGATGCAGGTGCCAGGCATGCCCCAGTGGCACCTTTTCCAAACAACTTGTGGACAACATGGGCGTGACTTACATTTGCGAGCAGTGTCCTGTGGGCACCAGCCAAGCGTCTGGAGCCTCGTTGAAGTGTGATCCTTGTGACAAGGGCTCGTACCAAGACGAGCTGGGGAGTCAAAGCTGCAAACGATGTCCCCTCAACAGCTATAATGATCAAGAGGGTGCGGCTCAATGCACAGTGCACCTTGCTTGAAGATGGCAGTCAGTGTATGTGTGGTTTGTCCTGTCAAGAGGAGTGAAAGAATCGTCTTGGAGCAGATTGTTTGTAGGGCAGGGGATGTTTCATCGACTTTGTTGAAGATCTTTTGTCTCCTCTGGAAGATCTTGTTTTTACAATCACGACCGTGAGGTGCCCCAGCGGGAGTGGCACCTTGGGCCTGGGATCCTCCATCTTCACAGATTGTGGATGTGTGGAGGGCCGTATTGATGTCTCCACCACAGAAGGCAGGGGAGATCAGGGCAGGGGAGCTTGGCCGAGCTCAAGGTGTTGTTGGGTTTTCTGGTCAGCTTGTCTGCCTTACCTTGTTTGTTGCATGTGTGAGCAACATGCCATGCGGGGTCTATGCCAGTGTATTTTTTGCGGGATGTTGAAAGAGTTTCAGATTGGAAGTCTGGGGCAGGAGTGTACAAGCCGGCTTGCGCTAAGACAGCGTCTGCCATATGCCTTGATCGATGCCAACAATGGCCAAGAATCATTCTGATGAACAAACGAGTGCCTTCCTGCCTGTTTTTTGCAAACGTGGCAAGCATTTACTCGCATCCCCATACCTTCCCTAGCTATGGAGCATCACTTAGAACTTCCATAAATGCCAAGTTTCACCAAATGGAATTGGTACAGGAACAAGCTTTGGCAAACACTGAAAGTCGGTTGGGTGGGACAGTCGCATTTTTTAGTGCAGGTGAGTGGTTTTTGGGGATTGTTCATTTCTTTGAGTGATTGAAGACCAGGGACTCCTGCCTTCTTCAAGTCTCTGCAGAGTCAGAGAGAAGCATTCGACACTGTAGTTGCATTCCTGTCGTTCAGCCTGATGGCCGAAGGCATGTTAAATTGTGTGGAATGCAGTACCGGCTTGTCTTGCCCTGCAATGTCTTTCTTGGAGAGTCCCTTGGCGTATCGTGGGGTGAGTGGATATGGGACGAGAAGATACGCGAAGGCTGTTCCTGACGACTTCTAATTGCATGACGAATCATAGCTTCCAGTTTTTTGGCGCCTGGGACACAGTGGACCTTGTTCACCACTCAGAACCTCGTGCCAAACCCAGGCTACAAGACTGGAACGCATCCTCTGGGCGAGAAGTATGTTGCATCGGTGGAAGCTGGCTACTACACCACAGCACTGCAGCCTTTGGAGGCAGGGAGTTTTGGATCGGATGTACCAAAATGGTATGTACAGTGTTATGTACAGTGTCTTGGCAAAGTGTTCCAGTGTTCCTCAAGTTGTTTTCTCCCCGAAAGAACCAGAACGAGGATGTTAAAGTGTTTTTCATGTAGGATCATTGGTCAGTTTTGCAGAACACCAGGCTGGGAGCAAGTAGCCCACACCGATGATTTCAGGTACCACACTTCTTTGATAGTTGCTTAGCAGCGTCTCTCGCTAATCTGCTAATTTGCGCTTGGTATCAATTCCACGTTTCACCTTCACTTTGATTCAAGTTTCTGCCTGTATCATGTATTGCTTTACAGTCGTTTCAGAGTAGATGGCACAGACCTCAAGAGGTCTTTTATATAGGGGTCCATATAAGCCACCTTTTGGGGATTGTGCCACCTACTCTGAAACCACTGTAGAGAAATTTTTTATTCCTTTTTTTTCCCTCGCCAGGCCGATTGTTCGATGAACACGCTAAACCAACGAGCACGTGATAACTGCAGCATTCCAACAGCATTCCAAAGGTGAAACGAACGTGTACGTGAGAGGCAAGAGATATGGCAACAATTGAAACTGACAGCATGGCCGGACAAACCGCTGTGGAAGTCAAAAGCAGCATACCACTAAGAAGATAAGAAGAGGAATTGGACCATTGGAACACTTCCTTGCTCCAACTAGAAGCGCAACAAATAGAATCAAGGAGAAACACGTGTGGGTGTACGGCTGTTTATTCTGTTTATTTGCTGTTGATTGATCAATGCATGTTTCATGGCATTCAGCTGCATCAGTCAATTTGAAGAATTTTTCTTAAATGGATCCCTTGTTTGCATGTTTCCGGCGCTTGGACTTGGGAGGTCTACAAGTGTGGGAAAATTTTCCACTGTCCCGGCGGTTTGCCGGAGACATGCGCGGGCGGTCGTGACGGAGTGCCATGTGCTGAGTGCCCACAAGGTGGGGAGTGAAGGCAGTGTACTGCAGACTTAAGGAAGGCCTTAGGCTGGGTATCAGGTGAGGCTTGGAGAGGTACGCGGTTACGTCACAACAACTTAAAGCAGATAAGTTTGGGAAATGTTTTTTCCCAGATGTCACATGCCTTTGACAAGCATCTTTGTTAACATGGGACTTTTCAGTGCCCCCCCATGTTCTCTGACGTAGACATATGAAGCATTTGCATTCATCGCTCGAAGCCATAGATGGCAAGCGAGCCTAAAAAGGTCGCCTCAGTACACAACTAGGTCAGTGCTGGTCCTCGAAGTCCCACATGGCTGATTCTCACACTGCGCCAGTCAACGACCGACCGACGGTGTCGGGTAGGAAGGCCCACGAACACCCAAAGAAAAGGATATGGGAGGTAGTCCAGAATCTCCCGACCGACTGCGTTGGGGGGCACGATTTTTGACAGCGAAGAGTTTGAACCTTCGGTCCAGACAATGTGCAAAACACATGCAAACATGAGGTGCAGACGAAAAAGATTGTGCGTGACTGCAAGATGAAACCGTCACAAATGGTGAGGAGCAACCAAACTATATACCCATAGCCCATAGCCTCGTTTGTCATGTCAGCACACGTGTGCGTAGTCGAACCACCAACCTGTGAGACCACTTCTGCACTAGCCACACTTCGCCCTACTCACAACCTTCACCGAAGTGACTGCGTGCAAACACCTGATTCTAGTCGTTCTTGAAAGAACTCTCGGCATGGGCCGTTCCAGTTTCTTGCACTGATCCACTTTGGTGTCCACGCAGCTCCACGCATCATCCACGCCTGACACGGATGCACCGTTATCCACCGCTGTGGATGGATCGGTGTCGGTGCGGTGTCTACGCTCGGTACGTTGGTCCAAAACCTCCAGAGACCGTCAAAGCGGCGACCGCTCGCTCTGTCAGTTGGCAGTTTGGACCCTGAGAAACGGGTGGTTGTCACCCCATAACAGTCTAAGGCAGGTACGTTTGGGACACTTTGATGAGCTTGCACTTTTGAGTGCTCCACAGTAGAAACTGATGCAATTGAACTCGTAGGCGCAAAGCCTGGATGAACTGGCAGGTTACTAGACATGGTATGGTATATACATGCAAAATCCGATCGAAGACACACATATTTCACTTGGACTCATTCGACAAACTGACAAGCTGATTGTCAGCCGTTGCTTGCAGGTGAGACATGGTCGGAGAATCAGTGCATGGGCTGTGAGGTATGGAGGCAGGTGCTTTGGGTTGAGGGCTCAGCTGAAGAGTGCCGTTTCCACGGTTTTGGCGGGCCTTTGGACAAATCATACTCAGTAGTAGCACAAGGACTTTTGGTTGAGGAAATGTGATGCTTTGCTTGAGGCTGTGAGCATTGTCGGCATCTTCATCTTCCTGACAGTGTCCTACTACTTAATGACTTCCAAGGTTACAGCGAAGGCCAGGGTTGGTTCGGCATTGAGTGTGCTCAGTAGAGAAGGTGATCAGTCGCCGTTTTGCGTGAACAAAATGCTGGGCTTTGCCAACAGCTGAACATCATTCAGCCATTGAAACGCTTTACGCGGAAACATGTTTCATACTCGGCTCGCAGAGCAGCTGAGGCTTCTGTGCTTTTCACCACGACCTGTGCCTTCGGAATGCTGGTGTCCCTCCTTCAGAGTGTGGGCATCATTGGCATGATGACTGTTGAGTGGCCTGTGGACCTGAAAGGCTTCTTCTCCTACTTTCAGGTGAAGGGCTTGGTCGATTTGTCAGAAAACTTTCGGCTGAAGAAGACCGAAATGTATTGGTAGCAATCAACACTTTCTATTTTGGAATCCATCTCTCACCACAGGTCCTTTTGCTGGACCTGGACAGCTTTGGCTTCGCATGCTTCGCTGGTGCTGAGACCAGCTTCCGCTACACCGCCACCTGGCAAAGAATCGCATGGCACACCCACTTCGCTCCTTCCGTCTTTGGAGGGTTGAGGTATCTGGAGGTCTGCCACCAGTCTTCTTTTTTGGGGTCGCAGCGGGTACCGCTCGAATTTGAGAGCTCATTTGGAGACGCAAAAATAGGCTTTGAGTGCTTCAGGTCAGTGTGTGCTTCTTCCCTGCAGCCGTTGCCTGGCTCTTCCTGAACTTCTTGGTCAGCAAGGCTAGTTGATGTCAATACAAAGCCCTGCAAATACCCAGATTCACAGGTCTATATACTGGCCTGCAAGGAAGCCACAGAATGGTGCAGGTGCACAATCAAATCCCCGTTTTTGAACCCACTATTCTGCTGTTCATGCGTCGCAGGTCCTGCCGACCAAATGGAACTGGGACTGGACAAAGGTCTCCAGTTGCGCGGGGCAGGTACTCCAGGCAGGGACGAGACCCAAGTCGACGACTCGACTCTTCTCATCTCCGACCATGTGGGTGTAGAACATATATTGGAAGAAGGAGCATAGACTAGATCAAAACCCATTGGTTTGTGGGATGTCAAAATTTAGAGATGGGAACATATCAAGCATGAGACCTCAGCCGATGGGGACAGATCAAGGTCGTCGCCTGCGAAACTCGCACATGCAGGTGGGTTTCTCGACTATGTCAACGATCGCTCTTGCACCATTGATGTGCTACACGCATCCCAATGGGCAGCAGAGCATCCTAAAGTACCCCAATGTGATCTGTGGTGAGTTGGAACACACTGTAATGTTGATCGCTGGAGTGCTTCTCTTGGTGTTTGGGGTCTTTGGCTTTCTTTCGCTGTGCACCTATGCAGCTCTGCGTGTCCCGCACTGGAGCGCCAAAGAGCAGCATGCCCGTGTCCGCGTCTTCCGCTTCTTGGTCTTCCGATTTCGCTTGGATTCCTGGTGGTTTGGAGTGCCACTTCTGACCAGAGGACCGTTGATCTCCTTGCCCATTGTTTTGGCCACAGACTACCCGCCAATTCAGACCATTTGGGTGACCCTCATCCTTGCAAGCTTCTTGGTGATCCAGTCGATGGCATGGCCCTGGAAGGCTCGGACACAGGATCGGGTTGAAGCTCCAAGCCTCCCCAAGCCCCGACCAGCTGACGGCAATGGATTCAAGAACGGTTTTCCTTAGTCTGCTTGTCATGTCCCAAGCATCTTGCCACCAGTTGAAGGTGCCCATGTTGAACGTCTTGGACTGCTGGATGTCTTACTGTATTTTGATCCTCGTTGCTGGCTCGGCCTTATATTTGGAACCCATCTCCAAAGGCGCAGACCTTGGGGGCTTTCTTTGGGCCGGTTTTTGTAGGATCGATCTAAGAGCATTCCAGATGGAATTAGGCTATGCGAGCTTAAAGCGATCGTCTTATGTGCAGCCAGGGTTGGTCCCCAGGTGCGACGGAGAGCTTCACGAACGGCTTCTCAACGGTGATGATGGTCGCTGGTCTGAGTTGGCTGAGAGGAGTCTCATGGTTGGAGTCCCAACGACTGGCTAAATCCGCTCCCAAAAACCATAAGGACGCGATAGGACGCGAAGGTTTCTGCGTTTTTTTGCATACTTCAGTACTTCACTGATTCGCAGCTGGTTTCAAGAGGAAACGGGGCATCGCTTGCAGGTGGTGTTGTAGGCGTTAGACAAAGCTGCGTCAACCGTCAACCTTTCAGATACTGCCGTATTTTTTCCTTGCAGGCGACGATGTTTGCAGGCTACTTCTCAGGATAGAAGGAGCATACAGAGCATCAATCACATATCAGCAATCGTTTTGTGCATGTCACATGCACAAAACGGTTCTTGCAAGATATATTACACTAGTCACTAGTTATTGATGTTCAGTCAATTACACCAATTCCTGCACTTGGAATTCCCTGCGCTAGGTCGCCAGCCCCTATGTTATAAGAATGCGCTCGTACTGACGAAAGGGGTCAAACAGATTGCCAAACAAGGGCTTCGGAATTTCACTCTGCTCGCCGCTCTCCTTCCTTTGGCCAGGTGATCATATTCTCATCCATTGGCATGATGGTTCTGATGTCTCTGACTGCCTTGGTCCATCGTGCAGCCATGGGCGGCAACAAGGAGTTTGCCGTTTTCAACCTTTCCAGGACGGCACAAGATACACAGTTGAAGAACAGCTGACATTGTGGGAAGGCACCAACAAGTGACATTGTGCCGGGGTTGAACACCATGGAAACCACGTGGGACGCTATTTCATGCTGAACGCAGTGCTTGTGCACGGCCTGTAGAAAAAGGGGTTTCTATCCAGGAGCAAGGATGCTACTAGGGGCTCCTGGCCTTACTACTAGGAGCACAGATGCTACTAGGGGCTCCTGGCATCGCTACTAGGAGCAAGGACGCTACTAGGTTAGCAGCTTTCGTGGTAACAAGCCCCTAGATTCCGCAGTGGTAGCGGAGGTGTCGCGGCAGGGACACGCGCATGCACACACACACACACACGGGATATAGTTTGTACGGTCTGAATGCCACATGTCACATGGCAACCTAGGCAAGCTCCGAGGAAGGTAGTATAGTAAAAGACAGAAGATACATAAAAGAAAGAATGACACACACACACACACACCATTGTGTGGTTGCAGATGGCGGGGAAACCAGATGAGAGGGACAGAGAAGACAAGACCAAACCTCATTATAGAAAACCACGGCACCCTAGCCTGGTTTGGTATGCAAAGCGTGCTGTGCGCGTTACAGTATTAAGGTTCCGGTCAACACAAGGGTGAGCTCCTTTGGTGGCAACCCATATAGTTTGGGCACCTGCGCCAACCAGAGTATGTGATCTCCAGGACTCACAACTCAGATGTGGTTGCGAAGAAGCTGAAGGACATGGCTGAATTGATGGCGCAGATGGAAGAAAAGGCTCGACAGTGTGTTCAGATTTGTTGTTTACACTGAGACTGAAATGGTTGGAGGATACTGCTGGACTGAATAGCGAATAGTGGTTCAACCTGTGAGTTCCTCCGCGCTTTTACCTGGGGGCTGAACCTTAGTCTGAGGGTGCCAATCCGAATGACGCCCTCCAAAATCCCATTATGCTTTTAGCTACTAGTAGGAATGCTCCTAGACTCCTAGTAGCGATGCCCTTTTTCCTAGTAGCTTCTTGTTCCTAGTAGTAAGGCCAGGACTACTAGTAGCTTTCAAACTTGTGTGTAGTTTTCTATGATCCAATGCATTGCTTCTTGTAGATTTGAGAGATGGCAGGAATTGGAGAAAGCCTTGGATACCTTAGCAGTCTTCGACACCAGGCTCGGGGAAGGAGAAGTTCACTGATCCCAGCAGGCATTTGTGAATGCCATGCTTCTGCGCCATCTCCATGAAGACAGTGCCCTTTCAGGCATTCTACAAATTCCTTGATGTGTGCACGTGTCGGCTGGGTGGATCATTTTGGGACTTTGCGGCCTGCATATATGTTTTATACCGGGACGCAGTGTTGTTGTGACAAGTTTAGTGCCCGACGTCCACGATCCGCCCCCGGACAATCAATCAGAGATGATTAGAATGATTCGGGGTTAGGGTTCGGGTGGAGTTCCCTTTGCATTTGGAATTGCTGAGAACATTGTTTTACTGTAGAACCTCCACTTCAAACGCTTCCTTTCTGATGATTTTCAGCATCAGTGTTTTACTGCTGTGGATCTTCGTCATCCGATCACCAAACCCGATTCCAACACGTGGGAAAGCTCAACACGGTTTTTTTGCATGGTCGTTCTTGCACTCTCGGAGTCTGCTCCAGCTCGGTGAGTCTGCTTGACGGAGCTCGGCCACCGAAACCTTGAGTCAGCTCGGGGCAGGGTAAACCTTTTGAACACCGAGCCAGGCGCATTACCAAGTTCATGACGATGATGGCCGCTGAAGTGATGCCTGGCGGCAAGGACTTCTCCTTCGGGACACGAGTGAGCTCAGCCTCCTTTGGTCAAAAGGCTGCGCCGGCCGCAACGCAGGGAGCCTCAATGCGGAGACCGTCACGACAAAGTCTTCATATCGCCTTATCGCGTCGACCAATGTCATCAGTTGGCTAAATTTTGTTCCTTTCATCTCGCTAATGCAGATTGATGCCTGTTGCACCTGACAACACAAAACTTGATTTGATGGACAGCAGCAGGGCCGAATCCAAAGACACACTTTTTCACACGCGCAGGACAACCCTTGTTGGTCATAGGATTTTGTTGTCCGAGAACTTAAGACGCGAAGTCAGCACACTAGGTCTCCGGACACAGCGCCGAGTGCAGCGTGATCGATTACGCTGCTTGGCGAAATCTTCGGAAACGATGGGCCAGCAGTTCTCTCCTTCGGAAACGATTGTTTGGGGCTTCAGTTCAGACTTACACGCAGCATGCAACTCGCAAAGTTTATATGCAGCGTGCAATGAAGGAATGACTTCTTGTGTAGAGCTGTGATAGGCCGGCCGTGTGGACTGGCCAGTTGGACAACCGCTTGATACCAAGATGGGTCATAGGGTGTTACTGTTACTATGTGCTTCAGAGGAAGGATGCAATTTAGTGTTAGTCCCCTGCAGTGCATGTATATTATGCAATACACACATGCTAAGCGCACCCCTCTGAGACTCCACCTGTGCTGCGTGTTGGCGCTTCTGATGTTGCATGCCTATGGCTGCAGGGATCGATCGGCCCACCGCTCGTTTTTGAAGGGTCGGGGTTCCAGCCGAAAGATACCGAAGCAATGAGGTGGCTTCAGTTGATGGTGATGTTTTTGGCTTCTAGCCATTGAGATACTTTCAGGATCTCCTTGCCGTATTGTATGTTTTCTGCAGTTCCCCCTATACAAGCAAGTCGTGGACCAAACTCTGTGGAATTTGGCTTGGAGACCTGTTACGTTTGACACTCGTTGAGAGAGAAGGATGTTTATGTATCACTTTTTTTTTAGTTATATAATCAACATCAAACATTAGCTTGGCCCCTCTTTGGTGTAAGTGAAACTGCTCTCAGGAAAGACACCTTATATACGCCTCAAGTCAAAACAACTTTCTCTCACTGTCAGCAAGCGAGGTGGCGTAGGCGCAACTATGGCTGCCCATGCAACTTTCCACCACAACACACAAGGACAACCTCTCCCATCATCCGCTGAACCTTTGTTATATAACAACACGCGCGCAAGACAAACTAGAGCTTCCCACACCACCATACCTCCTGAGCCCGTGGCCTCATTGGCGCGGCCCATAGCACAGGGGCGCCCCACGGGCCCGTGGCGGGGCCTTCCCCTCACGGACCCACGGGGTCTTCAGGTCACCAAGCCGCAAACCCATTCGGTCCGATTCAGGTGCCATGTGTTGTTTTTTTCGATGGAGTGAGGCCCGTGCGGAGCAAAAAGTTCTCGCTATCTCAGGAGGCACAGGCTTGGAGGGACTCATGAAGTGTGAGAGAGAGAGAGGGTCAAATGGACCTGAGACTCTGACAGGGACAGGCTCTCGGGGTTGTGAACATTTAGGTCTTTTTGCACGGAAGGCCGCGATTGTTCCGGCAAACGAAGCCAAGAAATTCCACATGCGAAAAGTTTGAAGAACCATAGGTACCCATCTACAGAACCCGCAGCGAGGAGGTGACGCTGAACGCAAACCGTACATTGGCGCTAAGGAGCCAAGGCTAGCTAGTCTTGACAAGTTCTTCCAGAGCCTCCGACTGAGGATGCTGCGCCGACTGAGAGATAACGCTTGTTGGACTGGGAGGCTTCTTACCTTGAACGGCGCCACAAACCAATCATAAGCGCAAAGGAGGAGCCGGACCAAGGGACACTCCCAGTTGTAGCACCTAATGCGTTCGTTTGGAACGTAGAATGTGAGCCGATCTGGTTATGAATCAGATTTGGTTGAGGGTCACAATTTTTTGAGTATGCCTGTCAAGAACCTTCGAGGAAAGCCTCAACAATTGTCGTGTTGAATACTTTTTTTGCCATGTTTGGTGTGTTGAGTTTGTGAGTTCGAACAGGGGCACTACTCTGAATCAGGGTAGCTGCCTGTGTAGGCCCTCAAAAATCTTGGACCATGACATATATGCTGGCTGAGCCTAGACGGCCAAATCGTTGTGGCAAAGGTTCGTTTAAAGGCTCAGTCATGCTTTCTTTTATGCCCTGCAAGGGCTCGGGCTTGACTATTTTTGGAAGCTGTGCAGTGGATTTGTCCCTTTTTCCTCAGGGCCCAAAGAAACTGCTCAGATCCAAAGGCAATGCCGCACGCACTGCTTGGGTGTTATATGTTGGTGGCTTTTCCAGACTGCTGCAAATTACTGCAGTGTGAACAACCACTGCAGCTATCTCCCAAAGCTCACGTTGGGCAACTGGGGTTCCAGTAGCCTTGTCCGATTCTCGTGTAGCGAATCAGGGTCCAGCTTCGAGAACGTCCATCATCAAACTCCCCAGGGCCAATCAGACTCCTCAGGGCCAATTCTCCAAGTTTGTTTCTTAAAGATCAGCGTCCAACGCAAAGTTCTGGTACCAAAAGCAAACTCAACACTCTCTTGCTCTTCAGCTTGAACTCGGAGTTGAACTGGAGCAGTTCAAACTCACCCTATTTCATTCGGAAGCCTTCAAGTCCCCCACAGGGAGACCGCCGGAACACGAATTCAAGTTTGAACTTAAACTCCAACACGGCAACAGTTGGAACTCACCCCTGGGTCATTTGGAAGTTTTCATTCCGATTGACATAGATTCGGACTTGAACTTGAATTGAATCCGAAAGTGGAACAGCCGTTGCCCTTGAGAAGCATTCAGCTCGCTGTCTTCGAAAACATTGTTGCTTTTGCATCTCTAGGTTTCTCTAGGGCTTACGGTTCAACGTTTTTGGTGTGGTTAGGCAGGTTTGGCTGTGGTTTTGGGATTGTGTATCTCTCCTGTCTCTCGATGTCTTGGCCTTCGGGTGCTTTGGGTGATTTCGCGTATGCTTGGCTTTGGGGTGGCCTGGCTTGAAAGCTAGTGGATTCTTGCAGGGAGGGGAGGGGTGCGCCTGCGTCGTGAAAAAGTTTCGTTGCTCAATCAGCGGGCGGGAAAAACACTTTTGGAAAATTGTTGGACAAACACTTTGAGATTTTTCAGCGATACATGGCAGGCGGGACCTTGGGATGCATCACGCGCGTTTCTGTGGTCATCGGGATGGTCGGATGATATGAAGGGTATTCGCTCCACCAGGGAAATGGTGGCAAATAGACGAGATTCATTGCTAAGCCGCGCCCGTTTCGTCTACCCACACAGCCACGCAAGCCTCAAGTTTCGTCTCACTGCAGATCATCGGAGTTGCTTTGCAGTGTGTTTTGGGCCTTGAAGAGGAACTCTGCTGCGCACTTTCTGAGACTGAGCACGGCACAGCTGAAAAGGAGAAACAGAACTCTTGCAGGTGAGAGTCTGCCGGAATGTTCGGACATTGTTGGGGACCAGGTGGGTTGCATCAGGTTCGGGCCCTCAAAAAACATGAAATCATTTACAACACGGATGGGCTTCCAGAGTAGACGGTCATGATGTGGTTCCATTTACATTGGGGCCGATGTTCCAGCGGGCCGATACGTGCTTACGAAGAGACGAGCGGAGGATAGGCCAAGCAGCTCTGCAGCGAAGCAAGGCGTGCTGTTTTTTTCGGCCAAGAGTGAAGGCGTGTCAAAACAATCACGGGGCCGCACTTGACCATTTGCGAAGCCGCAGATGTTGGCTGGTTCTGGTCGAACCGATCGGCGTGGCCTTGACGTCCGCCTTTCTGCCGTGTTTTCACCGCCTGGTCCGGACCCCTAGGCCTTGTCCCCTTGTCCAGTGTTGGCCTCATGTCCGAGAGACTGTTTTGTGTTGACATTTGTTCCCAAACAACTGGAGGCTAGAGGACAATAACTACCAACATGAGCATCCCAAGAATTGACACAAAAACAACAGTTGAAACTGTTCGGTGTCTATGCTGGTATTTACTTCTCATGGATGAAGTGCACTACACATGCGTGGGTGGGTACAGACGTCGAAGACTTTCATGTAGGAACCTGATGGAACGCTTCGTGTAGGAACTGGTTTAACCAGACGTACGGTGTTTGACGTTCGGAACGCCCACCTTGGCATTTTTTCCCAAAACGCCGAGTGTGCTTGGTTCGGATGCCTTGCCCCTTTGAACTGTCGTGCAAAACAGAGGCCGTAAATGCAACACATTTAAACCATGTCAGTGCGTCAGATGTTAGAACTGTTCGTGCTTGACCAAGAACAGCAAAGCAATGACATAGGCATTCCAACAAAATCAACAGTCTCCTTGTTGCGTGCCAGCCATTTTCTCTGGGAACTGGTTTTTGGAGAGATCTTCTAGCAGCCGAGCAACTAAACCGTAGCCAAAACAGGCAAAGGAGTAAAGTTGATCGATTTCGGGTAGCAGCCTGGCTCAAGAGCATACTCTGAGATATCTCATCAGCTCCGGTTTGTTTCCGCCATGCGTAGCTGGCTGGCCATTGGTGACTTGGTTTATATATATATATAGATTAAAGTGAATGCCAGGTTCGATACAACATTGACGTCTGAAAAGGATTTGGATCGAGTTTGCCTAGGAGTTTCTAAGCCTAGCAGGACATAGCAGGACCCGGCAAGACGTAGGGTCTGGTGAAACAATTTCGGTCTAAGGCGCTTTGCTGCCTATCCAAGTGGCTTCATTGTGCCTGGTGAATGGCACCGCGCCTGCTGAGCGAAAGAATCTGGCCTCTTGGTGGCGGGTCTTCAGACATTTTTCTTCCACTGCAGGGTTTGCGACTGGGCGACCTGCAACTCGTGGTGACAAGTTACACAATACCCAGCAGCTCTAGCTCATAGCCCATCAAGAAAGGAATCAGTCCTTTGGTTGCCCTTCGACCATGACCGGCAGCCGTACTCCAGTTCATACCCAAGTTGGTCAGGTCGTGTGGTGAGCCATTGGGTTTGCTGTCCATACTTGCTGTCCGTGTTTTTGGCCTCTTCCCAGGTGAACCCCAATGGCGAGACCTATCCAGTGCCAAAGCCTTAGACCATCCTGCAGAGATGTGGCCTTTCTTCAGCAGCGTGGACAGATAAGGGTGTATTGTGTCATTACTCTTTCATAGAAGTGTGTGTAGGTGTGTGCGTGTACGCAGCTGTTTGCTCTTCCAATTACTGTATATAAATATCGTTAATATAACCTCAGAGCCAATTTATCTCACCCTCTGGCTACAGACCAAAGCGAACGTTCTTGACCCCTACCCCACCCCTCCACATCCCCCACCTCCGATGCGTCCCAAATCCGATGTGTAAGTGATCCCCCATGCCAGCTTGGAGCTACTTCTCAATCCTGGCCGCGTCGATCAGGGGAATTTGGGTTAGCAATTGGGCGGCTGGATGGGCGACCTCTCACTTGGTGAATACCCTCATCCAGGCCAGTCGACCGATTTTCAGTTTGTTTTGTTCAACTTGTAGACAAACTGCAAGCCTTCACCACTTGGCCTTGCATTCTATTTGGATGTTTTCTCCAAATATACTTTCTTGAATGAGCGCATCTATCTATCTATCTATCTACCTAGCTAGCTATCTATCTATCTATCTATCTATCAGCCTTTGGGGTCAAGCCGGCGGCTATGCCCGACCACATCCCTCGGCTTCGACATGGAGGCTGATACCCAGCTGAGCAGGACCTGGCGGAGGACTGGGCCTCCAGCGTTTCTCCGACTCCTGGCTGCTCTGGCTCCTGGATGACCACTGCATAGACCTGGTCAACCTGTGCCAGTTTCCGGTGGGGCCAACTG